CCAAAGCACTTTCTCTGCCTATCGCCCAATTTTACCCTTCATAACAACCTTATAAGCTAAGTAGGGTAAATGTTCTCTCTGTTTGACTCACAGATCCTGAAAGAGCTTTAAGACAGAGCTAATGGCCTGCTCGGGATCACACAGTTCATTCCTTGCAGTATCATGACTAAATCCCAGGTGTCCTGCATTATGCCAGACCGTGAGAATAAAGGGTAGGAGGTCAACTGTGCGGGAAACATTTCTTGGTCTAGGTGGGGAGATCTTGACATTGGTATCTGACTAACACTGAGCTGGTTGCCTGGTTCCATTAACACTGGAACCCTCAGTCTAGGGAGCATCTTGATGCCTCCCCTAAAAACCCACTGGGATCTAAGAATCTTTTTTTGTAGTTAAAGGAGATGGGAAAAAAATATTCACCAACTACTCTTCCACTAGGACTTCTAAAGGAAACAGATAACTTCTTTTTGGCTTTTTCTCTAAAATGTAAAGCTCCATTCTCCTCCTTCAAACACTCTCACCAAACAAACAAACCAGAGGCAGTAGGGAAGTGAAATATGTGCGCGAAGGAATGGTGAGGTGAAATGGATGTAATACCACTGATTATAGCTCCATAAAAAATGTTCAGAGTAAATAAAGATCACAGGGAAATCCATCAGAGCAGTACAATCATTTGGGGATGGGAACTTTTCCCCCTTCTTTTGTCTCATCTTTGAATTTTCCATGAGAAATTATATAACTTCTAAATCACTTTTTTTTTTGGTACCAGGGATCAAACTCGGGTCCTTGCACTTGCAAGACAGGCAGCAGAACCACTGAGCTAAATCCCCAGCCCCCTAAATCACTTTTTTAATGAGGAGGAAAGAGATAAGGATTTAAACCACAGAATGAGTAGTTGTTGGCAAGGTGTTTTCTGTTTGGTGAGAAGGAAGCCACAGCCACAGCCTCCCCTGTTCATCCATGACCTCTGGCCATTCAGATAGCACCAAGAAAGGTGTACTTAAGTTTCATGCAACATCCAAATTATCACAGCTTCCTCCAGCCTTTGCCAACTCCTGAGGCCTGAGGTTACTGCGCACACAGAAGGAACCAACCATTTCACTGCCTCCTAAAGAATTGGAGTACCCAGCCGGTACTTTCTCTGGTCATTGCTTAGAGGGCAATGCAGGTACCATACTAAAAACTGACCTCTAATCCTGCTCCTTCTGTGTGTTCCAGAGAGAAATGAAGAGTCAGCACTTTGGAGAGGCTGGATAAAATCAACAGTAGCTTATTGTGCAAACCATGGCAGTGGCCTGTGGTGCCCTCTTTTGCCCTTGGCTTGCTGATTCAGTGGCTCTTCCTGATTCTCAGAGGCTCTAATGAGAGCCACAGCAGTGGGCTTATACCTAAAGAGAATCAGTCCCCACAAACCCCACATGCACTTCTCCTTAGCAGCCTGTCTTCCCAGAGCCACATGTGGTCAACCAAATATAAGTGGAGATCAGACAGGTGGTGGTAGTAGTTGGAAGGATTCTTCGCCTTTTCTGATTGGCTGTTCCGCACTGTTTATGAAGATCCAGTGAATGAAAACCAAACCCCTGCTGAGAAGTGAAATCCTGGAAGAATAAGTGTGCAAAGAGATAGTAACTAAGATGTGAAGCCTGTTGACCTCATTTGGGTTGTAATGATTCTCTGCAAGAGAAAGGAACCTCAGCCTTCCCCATATATTTCAACTTTCTAAGGCCCAGTGCATATCTGACATTTTTAGCCCAAAGTGGGGAATATTTAGGTATCTGAGAGCCTGTGAGTAGGATGTTCTTCAGATGACCAAAAAGGGTGCTGCTCATTGGCTTGGATTTACCACTCAAAAACAATAAAGAGATGTTGTAAATTTCCCTCTGTGCCACTCAGGGACAAGTCAGGGGCTCCCACTTGCTATCAGTGTGAATTCTTCCTTGCTGTAGGGGAAGCAAATCTCTAAAAAGGCACAAGAGTGTGGGGTATTGTGGGGGGTTTTCACATGGAAGAAAGTCTGTAGTTGACTATTTTCTCATGACCCTCTTTAAAAGCAGCTTGAATTCTAACAGCCTTGCTGAAATTTTATATGGCCTTTTGCTTCAAGGACTTTGAAATTAGCATTGTTGATTTTTCCTTTCTCCTGCCAACCCTCAGTTCCATCTCCCTCGCGTTTTCTATTTGCTGTCTAGATGATTTTTAAATAGAGTAGCTCTTAGTATGGAAGCCCTTTTGACTTTCCCTGCGGCCAGAACTATAGATACATTTTCTTTCTGAAGTAAGTGACAATTTGGAACAGAAGCAGAATGGCTTTATTGTCATTAAAGGAGGAAACTCCACAACCCCCAAAAGGACCACAACCTCTGCTGTGTGAAAACATCTGTGTTAAAAAAAAAAAAAAAGAAAACATCCGTGTTTCCATCAGACAGAACTCTGTGTTATTGATGCACCATCCAGAATATGGGTGTCTGTTATCCAAAGGGTAGAAAGGGGAAAATCAAACATTCTTTCATATCATTATAAGCCTTGTGCAAACAAAGCACCATGGACAAAGACCTTTCTCGATCCCATAATAAGGACCTGTCTGTCCTAACTGCCTGTACTTAGCAGTAGGAGCAGGGCTGAGCTGAGAGTGGTGTAATGTACTCTGCTACAGTTTTGCTTTCCTGAGCCAAAATTTTACAGGTGTCATGGTGGAAGTTGAATCAGAGCACCCATTGGGAGCCTTCAACAAATGCCATGTACCACAGGCTCAGAGCTAGGAAGCAACCTGACAAAGAAATTGCACCCAACCACAGAGAAGTCAAATGATCATTTAGTGTTTGCTTTTGTGTGTGGGAATTAACTAGCTACAAATACCAGGAATGGGACTCATCTGCCTTCATCTGATGCAACCAAAGAAAAAGGCTGTGCTTAGGAATAGCTTCATTCTAGTCCTCTAACAAGCATAGACTTAACACTACAGCACCTGATAACTAGTAAGGGATTAGTTTCTTTACCAAAAATGTTTTAATCAATTACACCCCACTCCCATGTGTTTTTCTAGGTACTCAAATTGTGCCTTCTGGAGCTCTGCTATAGAACACAGTAGCCACACCCTGCACGTGGCTAATGAGCCCCTAGAAGGGAACAGGTCTGAGTTTTGACATGCTAGAATGGCAAAATGTGCTTTGGATTTTAAACATCTACACAAAAATCAGTAAAATATTTCATTAATAATTATATTAATGGCATGTAAGAAATATTTCAGGTACATTGGGTTAATAACATTAAAATTAATTCCACGTGTTCATTTTTACTTCTTTTTATGTGACTACTAGAAAATGAAAATCACATATGTGGCTGGTGGTTGTATTGTACAGCACGGGGCTAGCACATGAATGAAGTTTAGGTTTGTAGTGCCATCTGCTGGCCCATTTGAAGCAGACGCGAATGTAAACTGGACTTAAGCATTCTGAGCTGGTAACACTGTCTTCTGTGCTAGCAACGTGCAAGCTTCTTTTTTAAGGATCTTCTGAAGAACAACCAGAACTGAACCCAGAAGTCCCTGAATCATCAAGAGCTTTAGAAAGTGTAGTAGCAAGTTTCTTGAAGATGCAGGCCTGTGTTCTTCACCTAATGAACGCTGAGAAACCATAGAGAGAGAGCCTTGCTTTGCTTCTCACCTGCTGCACAGGGCTTCTTATGTGCACTCATTTTCATTAGTTTCTATTCTCTTTTTAAGAAATACATCAAATTGTATAGAATTGTAACCAAGTATTTAACCATATAGGAGGGACACGTCCATCCTTCAAGAAATTGGCATCCTCTGTTTAGATAATGTTATTTGCCTTGATTTGTCACGTAGGAATCTTGTTGATGAAGTGCCTATATGGGTTATCTTTTGACACATAATAAATCACACCAAAACTTAATGCCTTAAATCAACAATAATCATTTAACGTCTCTCACAGTTTCTAGGAGTCAGGAATTCAGGAGTGACTCAGATGAGCAATTCTGGTTCAAGATTTCTCATGTGTTTGAAGACAGGTTGGGGCTGCAGTGAGCTGAAGGTTTGACTGGGCCTGGAGAATCCATGTCCAACATGGCCCATTCACACGACGGGCAAGGGGCTGGCTGTTGGCTGGAGCCATCAGCTCCTGTCCACATGGGCTTCTCGCAGGGCTTCTTTAGTGTCCTCAAGGCTTGGCAGCTAGTTTCCTCCAGAGCAAGCAATCTAAGAGACTTAAGATGCAGTTCCTTTTATGACCTAGCCTCTTTATAAAGAAATTTCAGCATTACATTGTAAAAGAAAATGTGAGAGAAATGAAATGACCACCTTGGGAAAATACAGTCTGCCAAAGTACCAAACACAGTTACCCTGCATAATACTGTACAGATAAAAAGCATTCCCTGTTTTTCAGTGAGGAAATTGAGACTCAGTGAGCTAAAGTAGCTTGCCTGATGTCTCATGTCTGGTAAGGACTAAACGTGGTTCTTACTTCTAGGCCATATTGATGGGGCCTGTCCACGGTATCTCTTTTATGCTGTTGTAACTAAGAATTACACTGATCGATCTTCCCAGCATCCTCAGAATGTGCAGGACTCTCTTCATTCCAGTGCCCTGCATAAGTCCTTAGATGGTATTCCTCTATAGCTTGTCATTTTGTTGAGTTAGACTATATATGTCTTGTGAAGGAAGGTCTTAACTATGAGTGCTCCTTTCAGAAGTGCTACAGTCATGAAAAAATGTCACATTTTCCAACATTTTACATGCCACCTGCTTCAAAAATCTCAGCAATGATAACCATACTATAAATTGTGTGTATTATTCTGTTTGATTATCCAAATATTTCATTTTACTTGTTTTTGAAACAGGAAATTTTTTTGAAACAGAATTACTACTTGCTTTAGTAGTTTCTGTATTACCTAGTAATCTTTTAAGAAGGTTTTACTATTTTCTGATGTTCTACCTGCTGGAATTAAAATCCAGCTATATAATCCTATCCTGTTATTCTTGGTTTCAGGTCAAACTTCCTTTTCCTGTAGATCAAATCACAGATCTGCCAAGGAACGATTTCCAGATGATGATTAAGATGCACAAGCTAACCTCAGAACAGTTAGAGTTCATTCATGATGTCCGGCGACGCAGCAAGAACCGCATTGCGGCTCAGCGCTGCCGCAAGAGGAAATTGGACTGTATTCAGAATTTAGAATGTGAAATCCGAAAACTGGTGAGTTGACCCATCAGCAACCTGAAGTGAGCAGCTCTGATGTAAAAGTTACAGCAATGACAGCTGAGGAAATGGAGGGAAGGGTCACCCTTCAGGGAAGTTTGCATTTATTTTTAAAGTTTCTCACCAGAAATAACAACATCTGCAGCATGTATGGATGTGCAAGTGTGTAAGAGTGTGTCATATCCTTCAGTCATCCACATAGAATTAGTTCTTTTCATTTGACATTTAATAATATCTGATGCTTATTGCATATATCTATGTGCAAGGTAGTCTTCTAAACTATTTTTGGTTGTCTCCCACGCCTGTCTCTTAGTCACTATAGGAGGATAATACTGAAAACCCTGAAGTAGAATTGTTCTGTGACTCCATCTTAAACTATTTTTGTGGATGATCACATTTAATCTACACCTTAATCCTCTAAGTAGGTACTGTTTTATTCCCATTTAAAGAGGAGGAAAAAAATAAAGAGGAGGAAACTATGATGCAGAGAGATTAGATAACTTTCTACGATGCATGGAGCTTAAATGCAAGCCCAGGTGTCTGATTCCAAATTGTGTGATTTTTGCCACTGCTTTCTCTGCCTCCCAACAGAAGAATCTAGGTTAGAGACAGAGAACATCTGCCCACAGAGGGGGAATCACTCAACAAGATGATGTCCTACCACACTTTGCAGCCTCAGGGTCCTTGATTTTGTAGTTCTCCCTTAAAGTGGCTCCCTTCTCTTGCCTGCACCTCAGGGTTCAAGCTCCTCCATGTTCAGAATTATGAGCCTCCCTATACCTCCTTTTCCTTGGTAATCATCCTTAAGCTACAGGAAGTACTTAGAGGCAGCCTCTGGCTCCCGACTATAACTTTGAAGGCAGCCAACTCAACCTCATTCGGCTTGACCTTTCCACAGCCAAATGCTGGAAACTCATCTCCAGTCTATGTCAGACTGCAGAAGAGGGAGGCCACATAATATGGGTTGGGATCTAAATTTGAGTCCTCAGACTATATGCAGCAAACCCTTTGCCTCGTAGCAAGCCACTGCTATCCTGATGAGAACCTAAGAGCAAGGATGAGATGTTCGAGAAGCTCAAAGAAATGTTGTATGTTATTAAGATAGCCCTGAACTTCAGGGCTTTTAATTTTTTAACCCAAATCAAGAGACATCTGCCTGTGTTCAGTAACTCTCATCATCTATAAAGGAAAGCTCAAGCTCTTTAGTAAGATATATGTTATGGAAGGTTGGATAACAGATACCAAGAGAGTCAAATAGAAGGAATAAGTTGCAAAATGTTCCACAACACAGGAGAGTCATTATAGTTCATAGTGATTTATTATATATTTTATAAGGAACTAGAAGAGAGAAATTTGAAGATCCTCAACACAAAGAAATAAGTGGTTAAGGAGATGGAAATGTTAGCCTGATTTGATCATCACACATTATTTACATATATTGAATTATTGTATTGTGTTCCATAAATATATATAATTATTATGTGTCAACTTTTAAAAATTTTTTTAAATGTACCCTGCCTTTCTTGAACCAATCTGTAGCAACCCTCCGACATCACCTTCCATTCCCTTCCTAGCACTTGATCCCAGTAAAATCACACTGAGCAGTTCCCCCACATCTCCTACTCTTTTATACTTTTGCGCTTGTGCCTGTGTTGTTCCTTTCTGCTCTGGACATTTCTCTCTTGCCTTTCTCTGTTTTCTTTGTGCTTTAAAAATCAAGTTACAGGGCCAGGAATTTAGCTCAGTGGTTCCACCGCCTCCTTTGTAAGCACAAGGTCCGGAGTTCGATCCCTGGTACAAAAAAAAGAAAACAGAATCAAGTTACACATCACCTCTCCAGAAAGCCTGCCTTTCCTATTCCCATTTAGGCTGGGCCTGTGTCCCAAGAACCCTGATCTGGCCTCTGGTTTGGTGCTTATCACTCGATCTTGGACTATCTCTGTAGACATCTGTCTCACTAGCCTTCAGCCCCAAACTGTAGGCTCCTCAAGGACAAGGACAGTGTTTTGATCATCCTTGAGTCTCCAGTGATGGAATGGTTGGCTTTTAGGAAATGTCTATTGCCCTGAACTTACTGGAAACTATGACAGTTTATGCCAAGAGATTATGAGTTTCTTCTTTTTTTAAATTTTTTTCTTAATTTGTTTGTTTGTTTTGCTCTGCTGGGATCAAACCCAGGGCCTTGTACATGCCAGGCAAACATTCTACCACTGACCTACATCCCCAGCCTTAATGTTTTAATAACAACAAAATATTACTTAAGCCACATAAGGAAACAAGCTATTCCTGCTGGTGAGTGTGGGTATTCTGAAAGCCTGGTGTACTTAGGTGACCAAGCCCACCAGGTACAAGTCCACAGGATCTTAGGCATGTGTCTAAAAATTCTTGCCCAATACTCATCTTCAGGTAGTAGAATTAACTCTACTCATATTTGAGAAATGACTGATCTTGGTAATTAGCATTCTATTCAGTGCAGTTGTGTAATACGGAACAAACTATAAAATCTAAGCTGTATACCAGGCAGAGAGCTAAAGCAGTTTGCTAATGTTGTTCAGCTGAAAAAACAAAAAGACATCTCGTAGTTCTCTACCCACTTTTCATCAACCTCACAAATACTATGCTGTTTCAGTGCATAATGAGAGCTTTGCATGTTCCTTGGTACACATATGTGACTTAGAGCATCATACTTTTAACCAAGGTATGACTTATACTGCCCTTTCTGCAGAGAGCCAAAATACTGTCACACATGGCACCACATTTTCTTCCTCTTGGGAAGTGCCGTGGAACATTTTTCAGATGAATAGGCCAATAAGGGTCAGTGCCTTGTCCAAGATGACCTGGCAGAACTGAGAGTGAGATTCTTCTCCTGGTGTCCAGAAGATACTGTCCCTGCCAAAGATTTCTAGGTTCAAGGTAGAGAGATCTGTCCATATACCCTCACTTGTGAGACGTTTTCCCCTGGATTGTCCTGTCTCATTAGCTGCCCCGTACTCAGGATGCTATCCCCATTTGCCTGGTCTCATTAGGCAGGGTGGCATGGGTGGGCAGGACAGCTGCGTGCCCGCTAGGTCTCACCCTGCACAGTCCCCAACAGGCTCTGCACTTGCTTCCTACTCTCACACTGTCTCCACACACACCCACCACTCTGCTATTGCAAACTCACATAATGTATTTCTCTCAAGTTGCACTTGTACATCTGTTTATTTTTCATTTTTAAAACATGTTTTCTTGATAAATTTATAAATATTTTAGCAGGTGCCCTTTCCTCATGTAAATCTCTCTCTCCAACACACATGCCCACGCTGCCTGCCAGATTGTCTTCATGTTACGGCACGTGCAGCTCCCATGTCGGAGACCCGCTCCTTGTGCTTGTCGGATGCCTGCTCCTCTTTCCCCTCTCTTCTCTCACCCACCCTCTGCTTTCACTTCCTGCCTGCGCTTGCAGAGGCCAGGCCAGGACTCCTTCACCCTGCTTCTCACACCTAGTTTCTTCATCTGCCTCATCATGCGAATTTCGTAGAACCTGCCCATCTCCTGTTCCCAGTACAAATATAGATGATAAAACCTTAATTAATCTCCTTTCTGATGCTAAATTCACCTGTGTGGTCGGGAATATATTTTAATAACACAAGAACATAGGTGGGATTCTGTCTAAGGGGAAAACATCTCAGGGATTGGGCTCTATGTTTCTGTCTTCTCTCCCTGGTCTGGATCCACAGCACATTCCCCAGCATCCTAAAGAGAATGTGTCATGTTCAGTCTGCTGTGCTATAAAGGCTGGAAAGCCTGCTGATGTTTTGTTGAACCATATGAATTGTTGATGGTCACTTGTATTTGTTTTTAAATAGACTTACTTCTTCAGAGTAGTTTTAGATTCACAGCAAAATTAATGAAATACAGAGTTCCCAAATGTTCCCTGACCCTACACTCTCACACCCTACCCCACCAACATCCCCAACCAGACTGGTACATTTGCTATAATGGATGAGCCTGTATTGATACAGCATTACTACCAAGAGTCCTTACTTTATTTTAGGGCTCATACTTGGTATTGTACAGTCTGTGGGTTTGGACAAATGTATGCCAAATGTATGTGTCCACCATTGTACAGAGTAGATTTCCTGGCCTAAAACCCTCTATGCTATACTTATTCATCTTCCCCTCCCTCCTTACCCCTGTGAACCACTGATCTTTTTACTGTTCCCATACTTCTTACTTTTTCAGAATGTCAGATAGTTGGAATTGGTCAACTTTTGCACCTCAAAACTGGTAACCTAATACATTAAGGGGAGATTTTTGACGATAGAGTTTGGAATTAAGAATTTTCCAGCTGATACTACTTTGTGAGAACTGAATTCCAAGCAATGGGAATACTGACTCTCTGCAGTTTCCTCATTGGTGGTGATTGCTGATTGCTTGCCCAGGCCTCAGAGTGGGACAAGGAGACACCCTGGGGATGGGGTCAGTGTTGGCGCACATCTGGATGAGCTGCTCAGATGGGAGTCATGGCAGAGTGTGTCCAGGCTCCCGGGACATGTGAATTTTTTAAGTGTCTAGATCCTGACCTATTCATTCATGAGTTACATTGTAATAGGATATAGAAGGGGCCGGAGACTTAGCTTAGTGGCACCTCACCTGCCTTGCAAGTGCAAGGTGCTGAGTTTGATCCCCGGTACCAAAAAAAAAAAAATAGGAAATACAAAAACAAATGTTGGAAAACTCCCAGAAATGAGGTCTTGTGTATTCCAATTTGGGCTTGACTGAGCCTTCTTGTTTTTCCAATGTATTCCAGGTGTGTGAGAAAGAGAAACTATTGTCAGAGAGGAATCAGCTGAAAGCATGCATGGGGGAACTGCTGGACAACTTCTCCTGCCTCTCCCAGGAAGTCTGCCGAGACATCCAGAGCCCCGAGCAGATCCAGGCCTTGCATCGGTATTGCCCTGTCCTCATACCCATGGATCTCCCTGGAGCCTCCAGTATTAACCCCGCTCCCCTGAGTGTGGAGCAGAACATCGCAGCTTCCCAGTGTGCGGTAGGAGAAAATGTGCCCTGCTGCTTGGAGCCAGGTGCAGCTCCCCCAGGGCCTCCCTGGGCACCCAGCAACACCTCTGAGAATTGTACCTCTGGGAGGAGGTTGGAAGGTACTGACCCAGGAACCACCTTCTCAGAGAGGGGCCCTCCTCTGGAACCCAGGAGCCAATCAGTGACCGTAGACTTCTGCCAGGAAATGACTGATAAGTGTACGACTGACGAACAGCCCAGGAAAGATTATACCTAGTGACTCAGATTTGCCTCCCAATCCTCACACCTCTCCCATCTAGGTGTTCTTCAGTCAGCCCATGGCGCTGTTCATCTGTTGTCTCGAAGAACCAAGAAGGAATTGGTGCACACTACAGCAGTCTTAGCAGCAATATGTTCCAACATATTCCCTCCTCTCTTCAAGCAGGAGTGATAGATAGTTACCTTCACAATGGTGCTACCCCTTGCTCAGGCAAGGAAAGACAACAGTGCTGACACTGTCTGTCTGTGGGTTAATTTCAGTCTTCACAGGGATAGACTACAACACCTCTAGGACCCAACCACGGATTTTTTTTCTCAGTGGCCCATGTCACAAACCCTATCTCAGGAATTTCTTCTGAATGTTCAATTTTTTCATTGAAGACAGCTTCTATACACATCAAAGTTTTATAGCTAGACTGTACATATTATATATAATATATATAAAATATATATATCCATATGCAAAAGTCCTGCATGCCTCAGTTTTCTCACTCTAAAACTGGAAACTTCATTTCTCATTTATAAGCAGGTTCCAACATTCCTCTCTTCTTTTGTCTCTGATGCTCAAACTAATTGGGTAACTGTTAACATGGTTTTTCTTGCTTCACAGTTCAATTTCAATTTGTGCTTATTTATGGACAAAATTCAATGTTGGAAACTTTTTTTCAAGATTTTATTTCATATCTTTTTTTTCTGTTTGTTTGGTTTGATTTTGGCACCACCAAATGGTGTCTTGTGAGCATTGTGGGTTTGTTCTTTGTTTGTTGATTTGTTTGTTTTTCTTGCAGATACTGTACAGTAATGGTCAACTTTGCCACTTGCACTGAGTTTTGGGTCAAACTTATTTTCTTAAATGAAGTTGTAACTTCATATAACTCAAGTATACTGTATTTCTTTGCTTTTAGTTAAGAAGTAAAACATTTTAGCTAATTAAAAAGCACTCAGGTGATAATTATGTAGGAAAAACAATCTTGCCAAATAATGAATTCATCCTAGGATGTGTAAACAATAATCTGCTTGAATATTTTTATATTTCACCTCCTCCCCACCTTTCCCTAAGTAAAGTGTAACTGCAGATAGAGTTCAGAACTGCTGGATGTTCAGATTCCTAAGTGGGGAGAGAGTTTGGACACCTTGTTGAAAAGTCCATCAAAACAGCAGGAATCTATGATTTTGTACCAGAACTCAGCAGGCATTGGCTCCTAGAAATCAAGGTAGAGCTGTTTTCTTGCCCAGGGAGAACATCCCATTCATTTCCACACTTCATCAGGCCTCAGCTTGCTCTTAGAAGTGTTACACAGTAGGCCTTCTCCTTTGAAGGATATGGCTGACCAGCCACCCCACTTTCCTGCCCAGGACTGACCTCCCAGGGCACCTCACCTGAGGGGATGTGAGCTGCAGCCTGAAGGTCCCGCCTTTCTGGGGCAGCTCCTATATTGATGCAACTCACTGAAAGTATGAGAGAGCAGGGAAGATTGGAGCCTGAGATCCATCCCTGACACAGGCGAACACGTTTCTTTCTCCTTTTCTTTTCCAAATGCTTTGAGTTGTACTCTGAGGTTTTTCTGTGGGTCTCTTGTCTGTAGGCAGCTTCATACAGAGGCTTTGGACAAGATATCAGCAGGAGCCCTCTCTACCCTCTTCACACAGACACACACACAGATGCAGACACACACACAGATGCAGACACACACAGACACACACACCTTACCCTCACCTGATGATAATTTTCTTCTCTTGCTGCAAAAGTGGTTGCTTGCAACCCAGAGAGAGCAGCTTCCCTGGGCTCTCAGGTTGTTGTGGCCCTTGGCCATGTTTACAGGAAGGTGTGTCACAAGGAGGAGGAATCAGCTCCCTCCTTCCTGTGGTCCCTGTCTCCTCTTGAGGAGTAGCCCGAGGGCCACTCCCACCTGGCTGAGCAAGAGAGTCCAGAACAGTTTGATGTGGGGCTGGGGTGGTGGGCAGTGGGGAATAGATGGTTGACTTTGTTTCTTTATTTGTGCCATTGTTTGGACAATATTAAAGCTGCATGTGAATGAAAAAATTAGTATATGATTAGTAGGCAAAAGGTGAAATCATAGTAACATATGTTTTAGTATTAACTTTTTTCTGTACAAATATTAGCAGTAAATGTTTAAATATGTATGAATGTCAGAAGTTTGTTGGTTCATGCAGTAGGATGGGAAAAAGGGTTTTCTTTTAAAATAGTTCCACTTCTAAAACCTGCCTCTGGGTTTCCATTTTTTCCTTGTGTGTGTGTATGTGTGTGTGGTTGTCAGAGACAGATTTTGATGAAGCTCTGTGAGAGCTACTGTTTTTGTTTTTGGAATTCTTAGCCTAGTAGAACAGTTCTGTGCTTCACTAAGGAGGTTCGCCTTTGTGGGAAACTGGTGACAACTAGAATTTTAACTCAATGTAAATCATGTGATACTTCCCAGGTATGTGTTGTGGTGGAGGAGTCAGCAGACAGTATTTTGTTCTTTAACTCTCTTGTTGCCTTTTTAAATGACCTCTCCTCTTCTTTAAAAAACAAAAGGAATGTTTTCTGCTTGTATCATAACCAGGTGCAGATCAGCTTCTTGGTTTGATTTATCCTGGTGGCAACTCATGTGCAACTTGTAGTCTTGACCACATTCCATCCATTTCCCCAGATTTCTGTTGTTCTACAACCCAGAACTATGTGGCAGCCATTTCCAGGAGGGGAGGGGTCTCTTTATTTCTCCCCACCCTAACTCAGCCCCCTTCTTCCTCCCACCAGCCTCTGCCTTTTTTTCTCTCTTTCCCCTTCCAACCCCTGCCATGGAAACTGGCCTTTTTAAAAAGAAAATTGCTCTAAAGGCTGTAGTTCTATTTCTTAGATATTTTTAAAAAGTTATTTCATTCATTATCCACCAAGAACAGTGACCAGCTTTGTGTAATTGTTCATATGACATGTCTATGTCTTTCTCTATTCTGAATCATTGCTTGTCAAAATTATTTCTGGGCTGATTGAAAGGAGGACTTGCTGGGGACCAGAATCCAAACTGCCTCAAGTGAAATTTAAAAACTCAATCTGTTTCTTCTCCCTGGGATCCCTTAGTCAACCTCATTCCTTTTTTCTGGAGGAGAGGAGGTGGTTGCGACAGGGTCTTGCTATGTAGACTAGGCTGGTTTTGAACTCACTATGTAGTCCAGGCTGCCCTCAAACTCATAGTGATCCTCCAGCCTCAGCCTCCCAAGTGCTGTGTTTGCAGGAGTATACCACCACACCTGGCAACCTCATGCCTTTTGTAAAGAGGAAAAGTAAACAAAGAACAAGAAATAAAGGACACTCCAGTCATGGGCTGTTTAGGAGGATCACTCTGACAACCTGGTTGGGTCTCCAAATGGGTAGGGTAGGAATAGTTGTTGGGTCAGGGCCAGTGCAGGCAACCCTGACCCTAATTAACATCCCACCTGAATCTGGTTCTCCCCTGGGTCTGCCTTTGTCCTCCTTGTGTCTCCAGACAACCTCCGTTCATTCAGATTAGTCAGGCTGTGGGCAGGCGAGTGCTTTGCTATATGTGTTTGTTACTCTGCGTTATTTGGGGGTGCCTTGAATAAAATCGAACTTCATTACATACTGATTCTGGAACAAAACAGTTACAAAACTGTAAAAACTGGCAAAGTTGCTCGGCCATCCTGCTACTTCTCTTCCGGGTTCTTCAAGAATGACTCAGGCGTCAGAGGTGATGCTGCCGTAGAAAACGTTATTGTGTATGTTGTACAAGTAATTTATTGACTGTCTTTCTAAAGGTATGCTGCTTTTTAAAATGCACTATAATTTTGGATGTAATCCTTGTATTGCTTTTCCAAGGATGTAAAAAGAAAGGCTAAGGACTTAGTATGCCAACTGTCACTTCTCCTTAAAAAGGAGCTCGGGGACAGCTATAGCACTTGCATGAGTGAACTGGCTAAAACCTATACTTCCTTTTAATATTTTGTGATTTCCATTAAAGAAGAAGAAAAAAAAGAAGTATTTTTAAATTGTAGGCCTTTTAAAAAACCTTAATATACCCCAGGAAGCTGCTCTGCATCCTGTAGAGTAGCATAATCATTTCAGAATGAATAGAGTCCTACAAACCTTTTTCAGATCCCTATTTGGCTACCTTTTTCTGCACATTGTGCCCCTCTTGAACTCAGAGTTGTTTTATAAATGACTTCAAACTACTTACTGTTGCTTACAGTTTAGGAGGAAACACAAATCTGGAAGGGAGCAAGAATCAAATTTTTCCTTAAATTACTGAAAATAGACTAAAGAACAAGATTTGTTTTTCAAGTATAAAGTTGCTCATTGTATCATGAGTTAGTATTTCTCCCCAAAATTGAGGATTTTTCTGTAGGTTCAATTTCTGGAGAGTCAGTGCACAATACAGAGTCCTGTGTGGAGTTGGTTTTCATAAAGGAAGTCTGTGTGTATGGAGGCATTTTGTTTCCAAAGTGTATGTTTATAACACTGCCCAAGCCATCTCATGACACAGGCATCAGAGACTGATGCTGCAGAATAGAATACATTTGTACACAAATAGCATGTTCAAATGGTATTTGTACATAGAGAAGACTTATTGTGGCAGATCAAGAATAAATTATTTAACTGACAGTGCAAAAACATTACTTGCAAAAAAAAGTAATTGTATAGTATTTTCCTATACTCCACCCTGGGAGATAATATTTATATCAATGAATATCAGTGCATTTTAATTGTAATATGAAAATTATGCTGCCATTTTGTGAAGAATACCCACTTGGTTGCAGAGGCCAATTTTTGTAGTTTTGATTTAATGTTCTGATATGATGTGTACATTTACAAGCAATGGATAAACAGCTCTGACTTTCATTTTCATTCCAGTTACTTGACATCAGATAAAACAGTGGCCCTTATAAAAGCAGAAGTGCACCAAGACCATTTCAGGTAGAGTCACATTCAGTGCCAAATGCTCCCATGGGGACAGTCAGACATATTTATCAGGAAAGAGTGAAGGGACTTGGATAAAGAGGGGTTTTCCTACAGATCAATGTTAAGTCTTCTACCAAAACGTGTCTGGAGGCAGAAGGGTGGCTACCACTTGAGTCCTAACAAAGCATTTTGGGTGTGCAAATGCTGGCATGACTGTTCACACTCTACAAGAACCTGGCACTTCTAGTGAGTTATCAGGAAGACTGCAGATGCATTTGGGAGCTTCAGGTGCTTGTTAGACACAGTGAGCCATTGAAGGCAAGAGGGCTTGTGAGAATTTGTTCCAGAACCAGTCTAATCCAAGTGCACCTCTGATATATGCCTTACAAACTCCAGAGGCCATACTCAAAACAGGGTCTTCTCAGTGTATGCAAGGGGCTGCAGCCCCTCTTCTCTTCCTCCCCAGGTTGAACAATACGGACAGTTTTCACACATATCTACCTGTATAACCCTCTGTACCTCTCATAACTGGTCAACGACTGTAACAGGTTACATCAGGTGTTTTTCTACATACTTTTTACACAGATTCTATGCGATTAATGTAACTTAATTCAATGCATCATTTTATTGTACTAGTTCTTAGGCTTGTCCTTATTTTTTTTCTAAGTGATTGTGGTTTTTCTTGTGGTTTTTATTGTAAAGATGAAATGGCTGTTGATGCTTATTCTCTGTAACTAAGAATTTTTACCTTTTTGGGAAAAAAAGCATTGCTATGAACTAATGAAACTTCATTTACTCATTGTAAATACACTATTGTGCAAAAAAATTTTTCACTCAGTTGAATTGCTAGTGTTAACTGAATTTTGTCTAGACACCATTTCTGTTGATGAAATAAAGACATATCATTATGCATTGTAAATTGATTTTCTCTGCCTCTGATCCCTGCATTTCAGATTAGAAAAATGGAAAGCCTCAAAAAATCTTTTTTCCTCAAAAGGCCATTTTCCTTCTCTAGTTTGGAACCTATCTTGATACCTGATTAATCTCATTAGAAATCTTTAAAACTTGATGCTGCTAATGTAATTTCTAAACTCTAAATTTTAAAAATCTGGCACCTATGAGAAGAGGTAAAGGGCATTAGACCAAATTTTCTGGTTTTGATATTGTACAATAGCTATGCAAAATGTTACCACTAGAAAAAACTAGGTGCATACCTGTAGTCCCAGCTACTTGGGAGGCTGAGGCAGGAGGATCACTTGAACCCATGAATTCAAGACCAGCTTGGGTGGCAAAGTTAAGAACTACCATAAAAAAACAACTAAAAGTAAATGGTGAGGAGAGCATCAAACCAACATCAAGATGCAATAAATTGTAATGACAAGTTTAGAATTGTACTTGGGGAGACCAGTTGCACAGCAAATAACAAGAATCAGCAAATTGGGTCATACCCAACTCAAAAGCTTCTGCACAGCAAAGGAAACAACAACAAAGTGAAGACAAAATTTACAGAATGGGAAAATTTTTTGCCAGGCATTCCTCAGACAGAGAACTAATACAATATCTAGAATAAAGAACTATGCCTTCTCAGCCTTTTGGCTAAGATCAAGTGTACAATAAAGAATGAAAATATTGTGCCCCCACAATAAGACACAATTTTAAATTTTACAATTGAAATAAGTAGACACTTCAGAAGTACAGATGGCTGATAAATACATGAAAAAATGCTCAACATCACTGGCCAGTAGAGAAATGCAAATTAAAACACTGAGAGTCCATATTACTCCAGAAAGAATGGCTATCATCAAGAAATCAATAACATGCTAGAGAAGCTTTGGGAAAAAAGAATCTTCCTACATTTTTCATGGGAATGTAAACTAATTCAGCCACTATGAAAATCAGTATGGAGGTTCCTCAAAAAAATGAAAATAGATATTCCATTTGACCCAGTTTTCCCCCTTCCAAGTATCTTACCAAAGCAGTGAAAGACATCAAGCTGGGCATGGTAACGCACACCTGTAATCCTAGCACTCGGGAGGCTGAGGCAGGAGGATCGCTGTGAATTCAAGGCCAGCCTGGGCTACATTGTAACATTGAGGCCAGCCTGAACTACACAGCAAGACACTGTCTCAAAAAAAAAAAGTTAAAGACATCATATTACAGTAATACCTGCATACCCATGTTTATAGCACCACAATTATGCCTAAATCTTGGAAACATCCTGTATGTCCATCAACAGATGAATGGATTAAAAAATGGTGTATTTATAAACAATAGCATACTATTCTGTCATAAAGAAGAATAAACGAGTCATTAAGAAAAATGGATGGACTTTGAAACCATAATGTTAAGTAAAATTAATCAGGTTCAAAAGCTTAAATATTGTATGGTTTATATGAGAAATCAAAATATAAATAAAGAACAATAAATGATAAGAATAATAGATAATAAATATCTTTTGCAAAAGGGAAGGAGACTAATGGAGGGAGGGAAAGAGGAGGGGGAAGAATTACATTAAATATTAACATATATACATGTACCAGGTCCCCATGAGGGATGTAATCATTATGTAATGCAAACATACTAATAAAAAATTATAGTTGGGAAGTAAAAAATTAGAATTGTACTTGGGAAGTTAAACCAAAAAAATTGTATTTAATAGCTTGGCTCTTAGATTTTGATATAAAGGGGAAATGAGATATTAGGTTGTGGGCAGGCCAGATGCCCACTGGACTTGCACTGGGAGGTAAGAGAGAAGCCACTGGAAGACAACAGAAACATTCTGTCTGAGCTGGCAGTGAGGCTCTGAATAATGAATGTACATTATGTCCATCAGATCCAAGTTTCTAGAAGTATGTGGGATCCAGGCTATGTCCCATCCACCAGATAAGAAAACTGAAATTAAAAATTGATGAATTCTGCTGTCTCAACAGGCATCCATAGGCACCTACTGAGTCAAAGAAGGCCTCCATAATTTGAAATAGGAAGAAAAGATCCAAAAGGATAGGGGAAGTGGGAGGGGAAGGGGAAAGGAAAGAAGGGAAAGGAAAAATTATGAGAAAAGGAAAAAATGGAAACAAAGTCTATGTAAATAGGGAAGGGTGGAGGGGGTGAAGGGCACACAGGTAATGGGGAAAAAATAAGAACCAAGATACATCATGTACAGGTACAAACACCCAATGATAAATGTAAATGTATTGTATACCTAAAATGTACCAATAAAAGAATTTAAACAAAAAAAAAAAAGGCTTCCAGAAAACAATAAATTCTGTGCTGTTGGGAAAATACCACAGTCATACCATTTTAGGTGCAAGAGGTAGATTTTCTTTGCCTAAACCCATGAAGTTACTTGGTCCATTCTGGTAAAAACAGGTTTCATTGTCCCCAGTTTTTCAGTAGAAAAACCTGGTAATTTAGAAATGGTAGTTCATTTGCACCTTCGACCATGATATTTGCTCTTGTGGCAGGAATGACAATCACAGTTTGAAATAAACCTCATCAGCTATCTGTCCTATAGAAATGAAGCATTTAAGCACTGTCCAGCCCTAGATAAGCAGCATTTTCTTCCCTACATTTAATGTATTCTGAAGGAATAATTCATATAATCTACTTCCAGGGCATAACTGACTCCTACACCAAGCCCTGCCAGCTCCTCTGTTGTGTATTTTTGGAAATAAATTGTTCTTTGAAATCACTTTATAGTTTTTTACTTTTCTCCAACCTACCACCCCATCCCTCAAGTAGGACACACTGACAAGATTGCACAGTCCTTGATGTTTATCTAACATCAGCTGGTGATGGAGTCCTGGGCAGGAATGGATGCCCAGTTCCCCTCACTGAGCACCTTTGCTTTCCTACTGTAAATGAACATGAAAAAAACTATGCATCTCATTATCCACGTGTTGTTCTTCTCATTTTACTCAAGAGCATGGTGTCCGCTGTCCCCACACCCACTTCAGCCTCCTGCAGACCTTGACATACATTTGTCTCTGGCCTGTTTGACCAGAAAGAAGCATCGCTGGTTCTCCATGGTGAGTTTTTGGTCCACCTGTTGAAGACAAGTGTACCCAAGACAATGACCCTTATCCCAAAACAATGGATGGAAACCTTCAGAGACACTATTGCCAGCAATCATGGGGAGCATTACACTTTGCACTGGGCCCTTCACACTTTTTACCTCTATTTGTGCTATGTGGTTGACAACCCTGTAAAGCCTTTTCAGAGTGAAGGGAATTTAAATTACAAAAAAGAGGAAATGCTGCCATACAGACTTCTGAAATGGTCTCATCATAAACCTGTTGACAAGACATGACAGAACAGTGAAAAATGAATAAAAACTGGAGAATCAGAATTAATAGAGAAGGGTGTTGTTTTTGGCATTTATCATATATTCACTTAAATAACACATGCAACATTCTGAGCATCTAAAATTAAAAATGCAGAGGCATTTTTACCCTTAATGTTTTCACAGGCTAGTCAGGCAGAGATATTTACAAATAAAATATTTCCCAGGGGCTGCTGACTCATATAGCCAGGATAGCAGGACTTCATAGAGAACCAAGAGCCTCAGAGTCACCTCAGAGTAGAGTTTAGACTCCCATGGGCACTTCCACTAGGTAATCTTTGCTGTCAGGAAAGTTATTTAATCTCTGAGTTTTGATGTTGGATCTATAAAATAAAGATGAGCAGCAACAACTCTGGAATATAGCATGCACCTTAAAAATGATCTATTTGGACATTGCCCCCCATTGCCTGGTCTTCACTGTCTCTTCTACAAACTCACTGTCTATAGAAGACCATCCTTTCACAGCTCACCTCTGCAAAATATGAGAACAGACAAGACTTTGGTGCTGTTTGGGCTAGAAGCACAGATCATCCCCAGCCAGTGTTAGGCTGCCTTCTGCAACATCTCAGCAGCTGCCCAGCCTCTGAACACCTTCTGAAATGAAGATATCATTTCTGATGGTTAGAAAGTACCCTCTAGAGCCAGACATGATAGCACATACCTATAATCCCAGAAGTGGAGAGGCTCAGGCAGGAGGATCATCAAGAGTTTGAAGCCAGCCTGACTACATAGCAAGAGCCTGTCTCAAAAAAACAAAAAAACTGCTTTCTGGAAATAAGGTGGATCTAGTCTTGTTGTGGGATTTTAAGAGACAAGAGAGACCAACGAGTGATGCAGAAAGATTTATTCCAGGATTTTAGGTGTACACCGATTCAGCAGACTAATGTCCAAAGGCTAAGCCCAGAACAAAGAAAAGACTCCAGTTTTATACATTTGGTCAAAGGGAGTTGGCATAAAACTGGTGAGTGGGCAAGCAAGGGTACCAAAGTGAGATAAAGCAGACAAAAACAATCATGCAGTGATAGCCTTGTAGCTTAGCCTTGAAAGAAGACAGAGCCTTGTGAATCTTGTGAGAACAAGATGACATAAACTTTGTTTACAGGACATAGTTGCCAATTTTATCTATACCAGAACAAGGAGTTATAGCTACAGGGAAAGGAGGGTGATCTGAGGGGCTGGTGGACTGCCCAAGGCTGAAAAAAACTTGTTTTCCTTTAAGTCTTGCTTTATTCCCCCCTTTTATGCTTTCTATAACAAGTTTTAATGGAAAGCATCATCATCAATTTCTTTGTCACAGGGAGTGACTCCCTACTGAACAGAGGTTGGTACCTTGGTTAGATCCATTAGTAAGGTAGTGGTGTGTCTATCAGAATCTCTATGGCTGACTCAGTGTTTCTGACAAGTTGAGATAAGAAGCAAGGAAGACTTATAACAAAGAGGATAAGAGAGTTATGTTGTTGTTTTGACTCTATGTTGACCCTCAAGCTTCAGCCATGCATGAACTTGTCGTCTTCCAGAGTAATGAGAGCAGGTCTGTCATTTCCTCAGGCTTCGGCCATGCACAGATTAGTCAGCTT